GATCGGGCTTCGTCCCCCCCCACTTCCCCCATGTGCTCCCGTGGAGGCCCAAAGAGTATACACCACCACCACGTCGGTGACTCCTCTCTCCTCTACCCTTGTATTCCATTCGTCTCTCCTGGGAGAGGGAGGGGGTGAGGGAGGTGGTGGTGTTGGTATATATTTTTGGCCCCCCCATCCTGGGGATCGGCGATGATTTGTGTGTTGTGTGTTCTTCGCCTCCTGACGCACGCCACGCTGCCCGAACACGTCCGCAGACCCCCGTTGTTCGCGGACCGCTGGCTCTGGTGCCTTGAACCACCGATGCCTACCCTGCGCACCGCCCTGCAGGTGCCTCTATCGGGGATGGACAGACATCCCTTTAGTAAAACGTGGTTCAGTGAAAACGACCTCGGGCCCGAACCTGGCGGGCGCAAGCCTGGAGAATGACGGCCGCGGCGCCCTCTCGAGAACCGAAAACGGACAATTCACCAATCGACGTGTCCGGGTAGGAGGCCTGTCCACCCCCGACTACAGTCAAAAACCCTACTAAGGACGCGCGGCAAGGACGCAAGACCCTCGGGAGCCGAAGTTGGGATTTTTGGGGCGGCGGACGACGAAAACCCCCAAGGACGCAAGAGCAAGGAAGAGCAGGGACGCAAGGGTACCCTGAGCAAAGTCGCGCGTCCTTGTTAGGGTTTTTGACTGTATAGTTATGTCGGGCGTGTCCCCCTACAGGGGAATGTTTGACGACAAATAAAACATACCCCAAAAATACACCAAAAAGGCAAAACAAAACAAAAACAAAAAATGCTCAGAAAGCAGTCCCCAGACTATGTTTGGGATTGTGCTCTGCTTGTTTTGGGGGGCATTGTTGTATTTTTCGTCGAACATCCCCCTGTAGGGGGACAGGCCCGACTTAACTGCATACGCATCGCCACCCTCGATGTTGGGCGCCCGAGTTATCCGGGGTAACTCGGGTCCGGGCCCTGACCCGAGTTATCCCTGATGATTCGGGGCTCTGGACGCCCGAAATATCCGGGGTAACTCGGGTCCGGGGTAACTCGGGTTTGGATTCCCGAAAAACGAACCCGAGTTATCCCTGACCCGAGTTACCCCTGATGATTCGGGGCTCTGACGATGCTTCAGCGACCACGAGGTCGGCGCCCGGGCAGCCGACCTGCCACGCCCGGCCGCCCGGGTTCGCCCCGCCGGCCCAGGACCCCCCCGCCCCCCTCTCCGAGCACCGCTCGACAGACCCCCCTCCCAAGCCACGTGGCCTGGGCGCCCACTGGCAGATCTACGGCAGGTTCGTGTCGTGTCGACCCCGGCGTTGGTTCCTGACACCTCGGGGATCATTCAACCTTGAACGATCGGCCAGCTCAGAAACGTCCAAATCGTTCCACATCGAACGATTCTGGGTCGCCCGCGGCGTTCAAGGTTGAACGCCACTGACAGGGTCGCCGCCGGTCGACACGACACGAACCTACCGTACCCCCCTGGATGAGGACATGGGTCCCTCCCCTCGGGTCTCGAGGCGTGCGTCCCCCACTGGGGGGACGAGCTGGTAGGGGTCTCGGAGGGGACGGGGATGGGGAGGGGGACTGGTGAAACGATGCCCCCTCTCCGTTTGAGGTCCCGAGACGGTTCGGTGGCAGACCGCGCGGTGACCTCGGACCCCCCAGCGACCTCACCACACGGTCCGTCGCCGCACCGCCTTGGGGGCCCCCGGGGGCCCTGGCCCCCCGAGATGTCCTCGGAGAGCGACCCGGGTCGCAAAACCGTGCGGTCACCGCCAAATCCCTCCTGACTCACCGCGCGGTGCGGTCACCGCACAGTTTGGGCGCCCCCGATTTTCTGAAAGGCATCACAAGGAAGCCCTGCAGGACGATGTGAGACCAGGCGAAAGGGCGCGAGCACACGTGTGGCAGGGGATGGGCGGGAGGCGTCCTTCCTCTTAGAAATGGATGCGCCCCCTTCCTGCCTGTGGCCCCCGAGGGCCGGAAACCTGCTTCAGCACAAGCAACCGGAGCTCCGTACGGATTTCTTGGATCGGCGCCAGACCCCCGCCAGGGGCGACCCCGGAAGCGCTGCCAGGAGGGTCCAGCGCCGATCCGAGAAGTCCGCGAGGAGTTCCGACCATCTATCGGAGGTTGGGGGGTGAGATCGCAGTGGAACGCATACCCCCAGCCAGGAAATCGTTTCGTGTCGTTCGTGCCGTGCGTGCGGGCGAGGCGAAGCTGCGTGGGCGCGCGAGAGGAATGACCCCGCCGTTGCTAGGGCGAAGTCAAGACATCTGATTCACTCCCGCCCGCCCGTCCGTCCGCCCGTCCGGCGGTGGCTCGCGGTGTCCCGCGGTGTCCCGCGGTGTCCCGCGGTGTCCCGTGGTGTCCCGTGGTGTCCCGTTGAGTGAGATTGGTAGTGCGATCGATAGTGAGATCTATAGTGAGATCGATAGTGAGAACGATACTGAGATCGATGTGGTGCCCCGAGGTGTCCCGTGGTGTCCCAAAAAGTGAGATCGATGGTGAGATCGACAGGTGTCCCGTTGTGTCCCGTAGTCCGTGGTGTCCCGTTGGGTGAGATCGATAGTGAGATCGATGATGAGATCGATACTGAGATCGATGTGGTGCCCCGAGGTGTCTCGTGGTGTCCCGTGGTGTCCCAAAAAACGAGATCGATGGTGAGATCAATACTGAGATCGACAGGTGTCCCGTGGTGTCCCGTGGAGTCCTGTTGAGTGAGATCGATAGTGAGATCGATAAAGAGATCGGTAGTCAGATCGATGTGGTGTCCCCAGGTGTCCCGTGGGTTCCCGTTGAGTGAGATGGATCGTGAGATGGATAGTGAGACCGATAGTGAGATCGAGAGGTGTCCCGCGGTGTCTCGAGGTGCCCCGTGGTGGCCCGTAGTGTCCCGTGGTGTCCCGTTGAGTGAGATAGATAAAGAGATCGATAGTGAGATCGACAATTGTCCCGTGGTGTCCCGTGTTGTCCCGTGGTGTCCCGATGAGTGAGATCGATAGAATCCCTCCCGTACTTTAGCGTTGCTCTTAGCCCCTCCGACCCCTCGCCTTGAGCAGGGGCCGACCGTCCCGGACTTCTTACAGGTCTACCACGATATGTTATTTATGCAAGAGAGTGCTCGAACACCAAAACGGTGACGTATGAAATCCGAACGGCGTCAGCCAGAAAAGATTCTAAGAACAGTTCATGCAAGCCACAAAGAAGCTTCACAGGTGAGCCTCTTTTGGCAAACAAGAATGCCTCGAAATTGCTTGACGCCTCCCGCTCTGCCTGGGGGGCGACGATACGGACGAATAGCCCAAGGGGGAGCAATACATGCATCATGTTTCTTAGGTCGGGAATGTCCTCCTGCAGGTGGATTCCGAAGAAAAGCTCAAACAAAAATCAAACCATCACCCAACGTTCTTGAAAAAGTGGAACAATCGCCCCCTGACTGTTTTCTTACTATCCTTGAATGTTCCTCCCGTAGAGTGACGCGCCCGACTTACATCCAACGGCGCCGACGGTCCGTGTCTTCGGCGAGGCTCCCCAGAGGAGGAGGAGGAGGAGGAGGAGGAGGAGGAGGAGGAGCGCACAGTTACGTGCCATGCTCGCTCCCATTGGCGCTGCTCGCTCCTACATCGTCTCGCCCCCTGCGGCCTGCGCCGGGGATCCACGGACCCGGGCCAGCGCGGACCCGAGTCAGTCAGGCGATCCACGAGGGGCAACCACAGGGAGGGACTGGCATAGGGGGGGATGCATCGACCTGGAATCGGCGATACATCGCCGACAGATCGGCGCTGGACCTCCGATCGAGAATCCGCACCCTCCTGGACAGGCTGGGGCAATCGGGCCCTTATCGGCGAGCAGCGGGCGACTGGGGGTCGATGCATCCCCCCCTACGCCCATCCCCCCTATCGTTGCCCCTGAATCCAGGACCCTGCAAAATCCTGAATAGAAGAAGGAACAACGGCATGAACATGAACTTTCGGCGCTCCGCGCGGACCTCTTCGTGGATCTGCGCTGGACCCCCTCCCTGGCGCGCGGAGCGCGCCAAGGGCGGCGCCAGAGGCGCCGCCGGGTGGGCCCAGCGCGGATCCACAAAATCCGCGCGGAACGCCAAAAGCATATGATTATGATGTTTTTTCTTCGTCGACTGCAGGATCCTAAAAAATCCTGCAAGACCCTGCGCGCGAAATCGGGAAAGTGCGGCCCTGGCCCCGCAGGAGCCTGCAGGATCCGGCGCTCTGACTGACCCACGTTTCTGTGGACCCCGGTCTCTAGAGCAGGGGATCGACGACTGAACTCGCTTACCCCAGAATTTGACTTGATCATCGAATCTACAGCAAAAGCTTAGAATGTTCGGTAGATATGCGGTGAAGTCTACTTACGTTTCGCAGATCCGACTAGAAAATCAATAGTGGGGTATATCAATTGTGCAATCGATCCCCTTCTTTCGGGGGCGCGCAAAAATGGACTAGCGATCCATGGATTTGGCGCTCGGTCGCCAAATCCATGGATCGGGGGGGGTGCCCTCCCCATAATGCGGCTGGTGCCGCCACGCTCGGCGGCGGAAATCTGCGGTTTCCCATGGGGACGGGACCCGTCGCTTAGTCCACGCCCGCTTGATCGATGTATGCGATCGCCTGATTCCCAAGTCTCTTGAGCCGCGATCCGCCCCGGGAGCCGCTGGACCGTCGCGGCGCTGGCCCATGAGCATGGACCGACCGTCCCAGCCATCCGATAGGCCTACCACGAAATGTTCTTAGAACCCAACAAAAGCAATGCTCTTAAAACATCAGCCCGGTGTGATAAGACAAGACACACTCCGCCAGCAATGTTCTCAGAAGCCAAAAACGTTCGAAAAACCTACACATGTTCACAGAAAGACAGCCCCAGCCAGAAAAGGTCTGAGAACATCTCGCGCAGATCACAAAAGGCTCTCAGAACACTCTTTGGTGGGCCTAGAGGCACGCCTGGACGCTTCGCCGCTGCTTGACGATCCGCCCCGGGAGCCGCTGGACCGGCGCGGCGCTGGCCCCCTCGGGCTCGCCGACGAGGCGCTGGGCGTCGCGGCGTCGTGCTGCCGCGCGGGCTGCGGCGCCGGCGCGGCGGGGGTGCCAGACCCCGGCGTGCCGCCGCCCTCGCTGCCGCCGCTGGGGTCCTGTGCCCTGCCCTACCCTCCATCCTGCAGTCTCCATCCCTCATCCTCCTCCTCCTCTTTGTGCTCCTCCTCCTCCGCCTCCTCCTCCCCCTGTTTCTCCCCCCCCCTCCTCCTCCTCCTCCTCCTCCTCCTCCTCCTCCACCTCCTCCTTGTCCTCCTCGGTGCCCTCCTCCTTGACCTACACCTCCTCCTCATCGAGCGTAGTTGCGCAGCAATGTCTTCCCTTAGCTTCTAGCCGCCGGGCGGGCGACCTGGTGCCGCACGCAGCGCATCACCCCTCTGATGCGGCTGTCGGCCACGGGCGTTGGCATTCTGACCAGCTCATGGTGCAAGTAGAAGACGTAGACAGTGGGAAGAAAAGAGGCGCGAGAAGGCGAGAGAAGGCCGAGGCGAGCGATGGGACACGAAGGCAACGAGGACAGAGAGGAGCAAGAAAGAGCACGAGAGAAGTGAGGACAACACCAGAAGTGACGAAACTTACACTTGGCTCGACATCGAAAATAACATAAACTCTGCTCTCAGAATGCTGGTGCTGTAATCCAGCCTCCACAGAGCGTCTTCACTATAGCAGTGCGCCATGCAGGAGGAAGGGGGAGGAGCTTGGACTGAACCTCTTCCCACGAAATCGACTGGATAGCGGGCAGATGTCGAGGGAACCATTCGCAGTCTCTTGTGGAAGAGAGCAGCGAATTGGTCAGGAAGAAGGAAAGACGTGAGATGCTGAAAGAGATGACGTTGAGGATGAATCGCTTTAATGGTTGGATGATGTTTGGCTCGTAGACGATCGTGAACCATATGAATAGCTCGTTTCGCAGCATCTTTGAGAACTCGATCGTTAGGGGACCCGTTGGAGGCATCTCGAAGGTTGGCAGCTAGCGCTGGGAATCTCCAGAATGAGGGCCATGGGGCACCAGCCAGAGCACGGGTCAAAGAGTATTCCTTGGCACACACTTCTTCCAGCGACTGATAGGCGTCCGCCCAGCAGGTGAACGTAAACAGACTCGCCCGCATCAGCTGTGCGAGGTTGGGTATCTTGAGATTTCTCACTCTTGGTGCGCCCCACGAAACCAAATTCGGCCTGGCCGCTTCCGTCAACCTGCAGAACGGCAAAGTAAAGATGATCGTCAGGAGCTCGAACTCCTGCTTCTGGAGCGACACTGAGAGGGGCTGGAATTGGCCCACATTTGGAAACAAAAAAAAAACGCAGGAAAAAAAAGGTAGGGGAAAAAGAAAAAAATGATTCTGGTGTCATAGAGCAGGGCCGACACATGGGCCACATCTCCTCGTGTCGAAAGCTCACGACAGCGAGAAACATAATTCCCAAAAAGGCTTCGGCCCAGGACGTGAAAGGGGGACCTCGGGGCCAATCCACAGCCCCAAGTGCGAGACCGATCCCGCGATCGAGAGGTCGCTCCACTCGTGGGCGCTCCGCCGAAGTCGCACGCGGTAGAGCTCCTCAATGCGTTCACAGATGGAGCCAGGGAGGGGGGGGGATTCTGCATTTCTTCTTCTTGAGGTCGAGGTGGGCGAGGGCGGAGGCGTCGGAGATCAACCGTCCTGTGCAGCATGGCACCGATGTCATCGGCACAAGCTCGGGCAATGCCTCGCGGGTCTTATGGGGCGCCCAGGACACGGCACATATTGATGAGAAACGGATCAGCCCCAACGGCATAGAGGGCACCGCTGGCGGGGCAACCTTGGATGACACCACTGGAAACCCAGTGGAGAAGTCGCCGTTCACCCCCAGGAACCCCAAGACGCGAAACTTGCCGGTAGAGGTGGAGGATGGAGGCGAGAAGAGGGGCAGGATGGCACGTACGCTCGAAGCTTTCGATCATCCATCTCTGGGACATCGACGGAAAGGCTTGGCCGACATCAAAGCTAAGCTAACCGGGAGGGGGCAGGGGAGTTCGGCTTGAAGCCCCATCCCAGCGCGGCGCCCAACCGCGTCTAACTCGATGATATTGTCTCCGAAATTCCGCGAGGGAACAAACCAACGCTGGGCCTTCTGGAGGCCGGGGGGCAAAGCTTGGGGAACAGGTTTGGTCGCTAACGTCGCAATGAGTTTGGTTGTCGCAGCTCTCTAACCCCAGGGGGCGGGTGTCAGCGCAAGCACGGACGACGCCGCTCTCCTGATCCTCAGGTTCGTCTCCCTTCGGGATAAACACCCCGAGCGCGGCGTCGAAGCCGGGCAACGTGAAGTTGCCGGAGAGAAACCACTGCATGCAATCCCAAAGGAGGCCCGTACCTCCAGGGGCGCGCTGCCGCGCGGCGCAGGGGGCGCGGTCGGGGCCAGGGGCGCCGCGCTGGGGCCGCGGGAGAAGACGGGGGAAACGGTGGAAGGAAGGCGGC